ACCTGGAGTTCCAGTAAGTCCATGAACTCATCATTATCCTCTTCCTGGCATCAGTTGTCTTTCTTCTCCACCTCTTTGCTTTCATTTTAACTGTACTTAGAAAAAGAAAATGATGAGGGAACTCTGAAACTTTAACTCACAGGGTTATGTAAGAGGATAGTGTGTGTGTATCGTTGAGTTGTTGTGTGTGATAGAGGCCCACTGTTAAACTAACAGAGACCCAGGAGGTCTTTGCCTCCTTTTTGTCCCCTCTTTCTGTCTCCTGGAGGCATGCAGGCAGGACCTCTGGGAAACAAAAAGAGACATTTCACTTTGACTTGAGTTGTTTATGTGCACTGAGGTGAAGCCCACCTTAAAGCCACTCCACCTTTCTTAATGCAGATACCCCACAGCTATGCAGATCTTCACAAAGAAAGGGAAAAAGGAAATGGCATGGGTAAGGAATAATAAATGGCAAACAATTCTTATTTGGTCTGGCTCTTATCAGGTTGGTATCCAGAAGCACCTCAGTCCCACATCAGTGTGATCCTGACCACAACATCATAGCTTTGATTGATGAGGATGAAAAGTGAGGACAATGCACACTGCCCTTCACTTCACATTGACATGCAAATTCAGGTGTGACTACCTCATGCACTATCACCAACACATAAACTTTGACCGACCACTGTCTACCCAATTAGAACACATGCACGACAAAGGCTCATCATGTTTGATGGCTGATGAGTAAAAAATCCTTTAGATTAAAATTGTTGCTTCCCACCAATCTGTTCAGGGTTTCAGGGCTGATTCCTTTCAAAAAATACTTTGCATTACATTGGTTTTAGCATAAGAGTTTCATAACGTGAACGTTTCTTTCTTATCAATACAGCAGTTATTTTCAGAAGCTGGAACATTGAGGTTCAAAGAATCTAAAGAAACATGGTCTTCCTCATTGTTCTGACTGTGCTAGGATTGCTTCCCCCCTGCCGTAGATGGCTTTCTTAAAATACATTTTTATTTTGATAGAATAATCAGCATAGCTGCCATTCCTACCTCTGCTTAAAGCAGCCTCCTATTTCAGGTTTAGCGGACTGGAGACTTTCTGGAAGTTTTTATCATTTCCTGCCTTCATGTTTGCTCTCACCTTAGCTTCAGAATTCTCCAAACTCTTGGCATTCACGATTATTGTTCTGAGAATGTTTAATGGTCCAGGTTACATGGATGTCATTGGCTGCTTGGACAGAGTAAGCAAACATATACGTAAGAGAGCTGGAAAGGGCGGCAGTGATGGCTGTTCATTAGTTAATGATTGTAAACAAGAAAGAGGGTTTTAGACAATCTTCAAAGTACCAACTCAAGGAAGGCGGTGACCAAATATATTCTATATTATATATGTTTAGTTTAATGAGGGGAAAGTTAGAAGACTATAAACAAGTGTGGGTTAAGTGTAAAGTTTGCTAACAAGAGCTCTTTGCTTTTCTTATAAACCAATTTATACTTCCGACAATTTAGAATAGAAAGTTATGAGAGCAGAATAAAACTCCTTTTTCTTTTAATAGTCATGTTAACACAGATTTCAGGCCAAATTTTGAAAGAACAGCAATGAAAAACTGTTTTTAACTCTTTTCATTTAGGGATTTGTGTAGCTAGAAGCTGAGACGAACACAGAAATATAGTCCCAAGAAAATTTAAACCCTTTCCTTTACAGTCCGGAAGGTTTCTAAGATGTTCAGCATTTTTGGTAACAAAGAAAACCTCAAAATAAAGAGTAATGTTGTTGTAACCTATGAAGTCTTCTCACTATCTGCCGATAGTATTTCTCTCCTTTGCTTTATAGTAGCCTTAATAAGAAAAAAAAGGTTTCCTTTTAAGGAAAGCACATCTCTGTCGGCTTTATAAAAAACATACTGGAACTGAATGAAAAAAGCCCTAATGTTGCTTTTCAAACTAAAAGCACCCTTTTCACAGTAAGTGCTATCAACATGACTTTTTGGTATTAAGTATCATGCATTCACTGATGCTAAAAATACAAAACTTTTTATTATTTCAAATGACAGCAAACAATGGTGGAAAACATGATCATGCTTCCCAAAAAAAAAAAAGAAGTTCATTAATTCAACTGCATGTTTTAAATGTTTTCCTCAGTTTTCTGGCAACTGTCTGCATCTGGTTGTTTTGCACAAGGAGAAAACTCTGAGCATCAACATGTCCGACAGCTGTGGGACAGATCTTCAGCTCTGTGTGTGCGTGTGTGTGTGTGTGTGTGTGTGTAGGGGTCGTCCGTTGGCAGGAAGCAGTAGGCAGCGAGTGATGTGGTCAGACCCTCTGTCACCATTGAGAGGGAGTGAAAGAGTCCGGTGTCTCTTGTCTTTTCCTCGTCTTCCTGTTGGTTGTTTTTTTTTTGTTTTTTCTTTTGTCCTGATGAACATTTTCTATTTTTATTTATAAAGGAAACAAAAAACTCAAACAAACGATGGCTCATTTCACTGACACTAATGATTACTGGAGGTTGCAATTAAGCAATTACACAGCTTAACACAGCGTTCTAGTAGGAATGAATGAGATAAATACAATCCTACATAGACTTGTTGATTTTAAGGTAGAAACTGTTTAGAAGTTGTTATAAAATTGTCCTTCTGAAAGGGAAAAAAAAGGTTTCAGCAAGGAATTCAAGTTTAAAACAAAACAAACGATTAAAACCAACTCATTTAATTAGTGTTACTCCATTTCTTTTTAACATTTCTTTCTGAGACTCGGTAGAACATTATCTGTGGTCTCAAGGTCTCATTTCCCACAGCGAAACCAAAGCTTTTTTTTTTTTTCATTTGTTAGATTCTATTTATTTTGTTGTTCCTGTCTAACAAACTGTTTTCCCCACAGCTGTTTCTTTTCTTTTACTGCTGCACGAATAAATACTTTGTGATCAAACTTCAAAATGTTAGAAGACAAACAAGTGACTTTTTCTGCCGTGATTTATTTTCCTCAAGAAGAAAAAAAAAAAAAGGTTGAGAGAAACATTATGGAAAAAGCAGCGTGAGGGGTGAGTGCAGAAAATCATTTTTGTAAATACAACGTTCAAAATCAAAGGGAAGATGGAGAGAAAGGGGGAACGAGGGAGGTGGAGGAGTGGGAGTTAAATTAAGGGAGTCAGGGGGAACAATTAGATGGGAATTTCCAGTGTTAGTAAGAGACTGAGCTTTTGTTATAACTGAGCGAGTGATTGAGCATTGATATAAAAAAGAAATACATGTTTTAAAAAAAAGCAGATTTACAAAAAAAAAAATCAGTAGGTGGTAAGTTAAATGGAAAAATAATAAAAGCATGAAACCGTTTTTCATAATTATTTAGAATTTGCAAGATGAATTGTATGAGAATTGACATCAACATCCATAAAAGACAAATTTTTTAGATATGAATTTGATATATTTCTTAAGCATCACTTCTTAATAAACACTGGATGTTTATAATTTCATCCAGACTCCATGTATTGTTTATCACCTCGTGCTTGTCATTGCATGCATACAGGGCCAAAGCCTGTTAACAATGAAACGCATCACAGCTTAAACGTTTCAAAGCCATTAGACTCTTAATGAAAACCCACTTTATATTTATGTGCCATGACACTTGGAGGTCGGCATTTTACTTTTATGTCTTGCTGAGGATTTCAAATGAGCGTTCTGCTCTTTTTCTGATCAGATAGAAGAGTTTTTTAATTGATAAGACCAAATCTTCGTATTTTTTTCCACCCTACAGGTGACAAATAAATTTTTACAAATCAATTAAGCATGTTTTTGTATAAAAAAAATAGGTAAAAAGAAACTGTTGTTGTTTTTAATGGAGTGCTCAGTGGAAAACTGAGATATGTTTGTTAATTTAAACCAGAGGGAGAAGAAGAGTTGTTGTAAGCAGCAACCGAACCTTAAAACATAACAGCTGATCATACTTGGTGATCAAGTTTAGAAGAAAAAACTTGAGTAAGGTGAAATTATTTCGATCATTTTTTGTTCTAACTGCAGCGAGCATTAGATATGACTGTAGAGTAGAAGTGGAAGTAGAAGGCTGTTTGGAAGATCAGGAAAAATATTTCCTGTTTTTTCCTCACCAGATGCTTTTTAAGGACAGTTAAAAAAAACAAAAAACAAGCATATGGAAAGTGTTTGTGTACTAAAAAACTATTTGGATGTTTTTCAATAAAAACTGTTTTGAAACAAACTGGAGACACTTCAGTCCTGTTAAAAAACATCCAACTCATTCTGCTCATTGTTGTTTCATTTTATTTTAGTTTTTACCGTTTATACGTATTACAGTTAAAATCAGTCAGAGTTTTTCTCAGCCTTAAGATATTAGAAAGAATTTAAAGTCATTAATTTATCCAAAAGACAAACTGAATTTTGTAGATTAGAGGGAAGATTAGAAAAAAAAATGAAAACAGAAGAGTAAAAAAAAAGAAATATCAATTTATTGAGAGGGCTTAAAAAGAGAGTGACAGAGAAAGGCCAAAAAACAACATAAGAGAGTTAGTGAGTGTGCTTTAAAATTTCATTTTTGCAAAAGAAACCAGTGCAGATCAGTTCTGCCCCCTAGAGGCAGATCTGTGTGGGGTGTGTGTGTGTGTGTGTGTGTGTGTGCGTGTGTGCGTTATCTTATGGAAGAGAGGGACATCCTGTGACAGTGACTCAACACTTCCTTAAAGCACACACACACACCTTTGCACACAACCCAAGCACAAGTATACCCAATTTATTTTTACAAATTTGAGTTAAAAAATGTGATTTTAACAGAACTAATCAAACTCCAACCCGGTGATTATAATTAACAGAAATGTTTATTTTGATTAAGAAATAAAGTTATGTATTTAGTTTTGCATGTAGGGGGAAGGTTTTATAGCTTTTCAGGTGAAAGCTGTATGAGAAGTTGTGAGTGGGTGTGGCCTCCAGTGATAGAGCAAGGAGGGAGAGAGAAAGAGGGAGGAGATGTTGTTGCATTTGATAGGAGACTCCACACACACTCAAAGACACTTGAGAGCTTGGTGTGGAGTATCAGCACTCAGAGTGGGAAGGCAGAACAGGAGAGCTACACCTGTCCTACACAAGACTCCTATCCTCACAGGCAGCCTTCCATAGAGGATCCCAGTGGTCGTCCCTATGTGTGGATGGGACCAAAGTTACACGGTGAGTACAGATCAGCTTTACTTTTCATAATAAAAAAAAAAAAAAGCTAATCTATAGAACAGTTTTGCAGTTTTTTCTGAGCTTAATTGATGTGGACGTGTTACATTTAATACTTTGTAAAAACTTTATGATTTAAAGTAAAAGTTGTGAAGTCCAAAAACAGAGGCGCTACATCAAATCAGATATTTTTCAACCCTTTATTCTATATTTATCTACTTTTAGAGCTGATTTAAACATAATTTCTTAAGCTGCTTTAAAATAAGTTTGGTTATCTGTTTCATTATTGAACCTTTGCAACTTTTTGGGCCTTTTAGCTGCATTTTTTCAGGTCTTTCGTGGATTTATTTATAAAATTGTGTTAAATTAGCATTTTTTTTTAATTATTTACTGAATTTATTAGTCATCATAACTGTAAGGATTTAGTTGTTTTTTTCCTTTAATTGTATAGAATATATTGCCTTCATCAATACTGATTAATAGTAAGAGGATCAAAGTTATTTTCAGTTTCTTTCTGATTAAATCATCCTTACATGTTAAAGTTGATTTAAATTTGTAATTGTTCTGACAATGTGCAGGCTCAGCTTTGAAATGTGTTCAGTTGGTCTAAATACACGAGAGATGAATTGTTTCTTGGTTCTTAGTTTCACTATTAGTTTTCGATGCTGCAGCTGTTATGCAAAGGCAGGATTCGGGGTTTTGCTAAGGGCAGAGATATTGAAAAATACATTTTCAAATGTCATCATTGTTTTGATTGAATTCATTTCAAAGGCAAATAAAGCGAGAACTTGCTGCTCTGTGAGTTTGCAGCTGCTCTCTGGAAGAAAGAAAGATATTTCCCTTTTAGGTTTACTAAACAAATAACAGATAATGAACTTTTAGTTGTTTTTTTCTATTTGTTTTCAATAAATAGAGACACTTAAATGAACTTTAACTCATGCTTTAAAGATTATATTCTTTTTATGTGACTCCCAAGCAAAGGAGGTCAGTTCTGCAAAAACCTAGAAGACTTTTTTTTTTATTTGCTATTGAAATTAAATTTAAAGGAAGCAAACTTATCTTTTAAAATCCCTTTTCAGCCAGTTAGTTATTTTGTTCTCGGGATCACAAGCGCATTCGCTTCAGCTGGAGCCACTTGGATGTGAAACCGTTTTCTTTCTTGTGGCCTGGGATAATTTCTCAGATCCAAGTGTGGTCACCGAAGATCTGTCGCTTTCCGCTCTTCAGCGTGGGACAAGCAGCATGTTTGTCCCCTGTGTGGATTTCTGCTCCTGTGTGTGTGGGATTGTCTTGGGTGGGATCGTGTTTGAAGTTTTGTTTGCACTGCCATGGCCCCCCAAATGGAAAAGTTTTTTTGACGCTCCCTTCCTCATCACTTCCCACCCGCCTCCCCCTTGTCCATTACCAACACACACATTTAGACAAGAACACACACGCCGGGAGTTGGGATGATTTGCCGGTTCCGCTGCTTTGCCACTCTGCTTCCAATTTTAGCTTCATTCAGACACAGACAGCATTTCCTTCCTCCGTCTTCAACCCCTGGGAGATACGGGGAAGGAGGGGGCGAAGAGCGCGGAAACATGGGAATTATTACTTTTGTAATGTCAGAGTAAATTACGCATCTTTTACAGAAATATTAGTAGAATACAGTTGAACTGCCTAAAAGGAAACATTTTCTTTGAGTCATTAAATAGAGAAGTGAAAAGGAAAGAGAAAAAAAAATGCTGATTAACAGGTTTGATTGAGGCATATTTGGCTTATCTTGGAAACTATAATAGTCAGAATAGTGTCTCATCTTCCTGTGCATAGAAGTAGAACAAAATCTGTATGAAACTGAATATTGACAGAAAAGTTTAGTCTTTTATGGGTCAGTTGTCTAGAAAGTTTTGCTGTATTTAAGAACAGTAGTTGGTCTGATCTCTTATGTAATACAAACGGATAAACATTGCATCACAATAAAATATTCTGTAAGTATAGGAAAGAACATAAATAGAAGGAATCAGATTCAGTCATTGTTTCATTGAGGTTATGCATCAATGAATTGTTTCCCAAAGAAGGTCCCATTTAGTCAAAACGGCTGACAAGACGCTAACTGCCTGATCCTTTGTGAGCTTTGTGTGTATGTGCGCGTGCACATGTGTTTGTGTGTGACAACAGCATTACTCAGAATTGCCCCCCCACCCACCCACTGAGTCACCACACATAATAATCACAGATCTTCCTCTCTTCTCTTTGTCTCTATTCATCACTGTATTTTATCGTCCATCATCTTGATTTTTCTCTTTCTTGCCTCCTTTTTACTACTTATCAGCTCTTTCCTCCCCTTTCATATCCTTATCTTTTTTTTTTTTTTTACTTGCTGTATTCTTAGCTTCCTTATCTTGTATTTTGTGTTTTTCTGCTCCTGCTTGTCATGGTACCGTCTTGTTTTTTCCATTTTTTTTACTTTCTATTTTATCCTAGCTTCATTGCCTTTCACTTCCAGAAGTTTTATTTATACATATGTTTTGTCTTGTAAGGCAGAGATGATAAATAACCTTCTTCCTCTGTCTTACCCCATCCAGGCGACCTCTCATAGCTCGGCCATGTTGACCAGTGAGGGGGCGCACACTATGGAGCAAGACGATACAAACCACAAGATGGCCTCCACAGCTACGAGCACGGGTTCGGACGGAGCAGAGACCATGACCGACACCGACGTGGACATGGAGATGGAGATGGAGGAGGCTGACATGACACAGTGGACGGAGGCCGAGTTTGAGGAGAAGTGCACATACATCGTGAAAGACACGGCGTGGGAGGCGGGGCCAGACGCTGACGTCACGATGACAGCGACCAGAGCAGAGGCGTCGCTGCCCAGAAACCTGGTGCTCAAACACCTGGCAGGCACCAAAGAGGTCAGACTCTCATACAGACAGGAAAACTTTCTCCCCAGTCACAACTATTCACACACGTAGAGGCAGAAAAGGCCATCTGTACATTAACAGGAGAATGAGTCAGATGTGGGTCATGAAACAGAGAGCAGAGGGGCGGTATGTCTCCTTTTAAATGCTCACACAGGCACAAAGGAATGTGTGTGAGTGGGGATATAAGGTGACGGAAGCACAATTTACGCAAAAACACGTTTCATCATCTTGGTTCTGCCTGTTAAACCTCATATATCAGCAGAGAAGATTACAGTGATCAAATCTGATCCTGAACAGTTTGTCATGTTCCAAAAACCTCCAACCAAGGTGAAAATACTCAGGCCAGCTGCCAGGGGGCGCTGTGTAGCACCTTTACATGCAACTGGCATGTACACTTTTTTAATAGTGATAAGAGTAGGTTATTATAAACTTGTCATTTAGGAATTGGAATTTAAAACATTAAATATTTATTTCTGCTCATAATCTTCCTTATTCAATTAAAAACCACAACTCATTTTTTGAATACAATTGAAATACTTTCTTTATTTCGATAGTAAATCAGTCAAAGAGTAAAACAGAAGCAGGGGTTGGATAATCTAGATCAAAATAATACACTTTTAAAGTGTTAAAATGGAAAAAAGAAAAAAAAGCAGGCTTATTGCTTCTATAACTAATATTATTTACTTTTTTTTAAATATTTCTGATGTTTTGGGATTTTCTCCTGACCGTTTGCACTAGAAAAAAAAAAGTGCATGACTCCAGGTCAAAAGGTTTCAGCTGTGTCAATTTTGGCTCTGTGAATTTATCAGTGAAACGGTGTGATCACATCGATTTCCTCATCAGAGCCTTATCAAAAGGAAACTTAGGTAAGAAGGGGAAGGAGAGTGTTAAAGAGGAGCGTGTTTTGCTTGCAAACTGATACACTATCAACTTAACATATAGTGTCACCAGGAGAGGAAGAATGTAACAAGCTGATTAAAGGAGACTGCATTTTGGTCAGAAGAAAGAAGATGAAAGTTTTGTTAAAAAATAAAAAAAAATTTACAAATAAGACAATAAAGAGCTAAAGTTGTTGCACTCGCATTACCCTAGCCTCATGCCTGGTCCTCTGGAGGGAAAAGAGGAAAAGGGTATTTCCCATTTCACCAGGAGAACAAGGGGTTTAGGAAAGACTCGTGTTTGCGTGGGTTTAGTGAGAAAAACACTGTGCAAGAGTTTCTCTTCCATCCATGGCTGAAGTCTAGCATCAATTCTCTTTTCTATCCTCACCCTTCTTTTTCTCAATTTATCCTTTGAATAAATCAAGCAGTAGAGAGGGGAAAAAAAGAGAAAAAAAACATATTTTTAGTTTCGAGGTTTTCGAGTGTTCCCTCTGAAGTGTCTGACGAGGCAGTGGTTTGGGTTGGATCAGGTGACAGTGGAGGTGTGAGAAAATAAAAGAGATTAGAAAAGTGAAAGATTTTTTTAGCTATTCTTAAACCATATAAAGGGAGCCGAGGTGATGTGAAGTGTACCTATCATTCATTAATCATCTTTGCCGACACCTGGCTGATTGTGTGTTCCTGCGTCTGAATTAAGGCTTAATGAGACTTGACACTGATGGATGTGCACAACAGTTTGCTGGAAAAGAGGCAGACTTCCCCATATGTAACATACACACTCTTTACCTGTGTGCCGGCATGCAGGTGGTCGGGGTGAGCAGCAGGGAGTACATCCCCAAAGGAACTCGCTTCGGTCCCCTGGTGGGCGAGATCTACACAGCCGACAGTGTCCCAAAAGACGCCAACCGGAAGTACTTCTGGAGGGTGAGTACGCCGGCTCAAAACACACACATTTCCTCAGAAGCCGGAGGGACCCCTTCCTGTGACGTCTCACACTTCAAAAAGCAGTCAGTTGAACAGGAAGCAGGGCTCGCTGTTTTTCTCTCTGTGTGGGGATGTGATGTCACCTTCACAAAAATAACATGTCACACTCAGGTTCCTGTAAATCCAACACGCACTCGTACAGAGTTAAAGCACGCTCCATCACTACCGGTAACTGACACTGAGACGACACACGCTCACGAACCACCTACATGGTCGCTACCTACACACTCCCTGGTGTGTGTGAGTGTGTGTGTGAGCCTGTGTGTAGTGGGTCTGACTCGCATGAGAAGAAAAAGTGTAACCACAAGCAGAAACTTAAGTCATTAAGGTTCCATTCATTCTCATATCTCACTTTCTCACACGCAGCGAGATGAGAGAAACGAGAGGTAGAGATAGGGGGAGAATGAAAAAGAAACACACAGGGGGAGGGTAAGGGTGGTAGGTTTAAAATGAGTCGGTCCTTCCTTTCCCTTTTCAATATAAAAGAGGATCTCCTCCTCTGTGATAGACTTTCTGTCTGGCTTTTCTGTGCCACACTGAAGGTGATGAAGACAGAGCGAGATGGTAAGATACGAAAGAGGAAAAAGGGTTAAGAAGTTTGGATAAGTTTACATACTACTACTTTACTTCACTGGATTTGTTAAATAAATGTTCATCTGATTTAATTCACATTAATTTACACATTTTATCAACATCTGTGCCTCACCGAAAGATTTACACTAGGATGGCACAGTAGGTGATTTCAATGTCCTCTGATGATTTACACTCTTGCTCTTTTCTTTTTTCATTTTTTTGCTCTCCTGATTTGAAAGAATGTAGGTAAATAAAAATAAAAAACTGTATTAATAAAAATGGACTTCATTTTCTTTCCCTGTAGATCTTTGTGGATGGTGAGTTTCACCACTTTGTGGACGGTCTGGATGAGACGCGCTCCAACTGGATGCGGTACGTGAACCCGGCCAAGTCGGCAGCAGAACAGAACCTGGCGGCATGCCAGAACGGCATGGAGATTTATTTCTACACTGTGAAGCCCGTCCCAGCTGGCGCTGAGCTGCTCGTCTGGTACTGTCGAGACTTTGCCCGCCGCCTGAGATACCCACCATCGGGCGAGCTAATGATGGAAAAACTCAGTGAGTTCAACAACTTTCTTTATTTAATCAGTCAAATGGAAGATTCCTTCTGTGCTCTTGAATTTAAAAGCTCTTCTAGAGATCAGGAAGTTTTCATTTAAATCCTAAGGGAGTGACCGACTTGCATAGCAAACATTAATCCAATCAGCCATGCCTGTCCATGTGTCTTGGATGTGTCCTGTTGCCGCTATTAAAGCCTGTTTTTGAGTGTAGCTATGTCTCCTTCCTCTCTCAGCGTTAGTCTGTCATTATCTCGCTCTCTCTGTCTCTCTTAAACACACACACTTACAAAAGTACAAGACCAACATCCTTTCATCTCCCTCAGTACCATCACTGTACTCTTGTGTGTGTGTGCCAGTGACAGTGTAATTACACACAGGGGTATACGGCCCCTAATGCCACAGTCCTACTTAAAGACCAACCTTTTAACATAAAAAGTTTTCAAACACACGCAGTATTGCTCAACTTCAATAAAAGCAACACAGACAAAGTGCTTTAGCTTGATTCTGTCTTCATTATTCATTTTTATGTAGAAAAAAAGTCAGCTTTAGTTTATCCGTCCTTTTTTTTTCAAATAATAAGAAGCATATTTGCAAGTTTTATCAGAATCAGGTTCATTGGCCATGTAGGTTTGCACTTACAAGGAATTTGACTTGATGATGTCAAGTTTTCGTCATGTTTCTGTGGTTTTTCTTTTGAACATCAGAATAGTTTGCATTACAGGCAGATTTTTACAAAGCAGTCTGACTGAGCGTGTCCCCTTTTGCTAAGCTGATCAAAGAGTGGGAGAGCTCGGAGGAAAACAAAGCCTTAGAGCAGGAGCTGAGTGGTTTCCAGGTGTGACTGGAGGCTAATAGCAGTCTTAAGGTGGCAGAGGAACCAGCACACCCAGCCAGAGTGGCTCCACTACCCAGGGAAAAATGCGCATGTCCCGGGGGACAGAAACAGGAGGGATCCCCTGATCCCCCTCCTTTATCTCAACACATTGTGAACTTACTATATGAGTTGTCTTTAATTAGCCTCATCTGTCATTTGAGCCCCCGCAGGTCTTTGCTGACCTGTAGCTGACTTTAAAATACATTTTTCTACCTGGATTTTTTTTTTTTTTTCAGCGCTCTTTTCTCTGTGCCCAAGAGCTTTAAGTTTCAAGGCTTTTCCTCTTTTTTTTTCTCAGTTATCTGAATTTACATGTCTAAAATGAGTATAACAATCGTCTGTTACAGCGGTTTGCAAAAGAGCGAAGTAAGAAATAATCTTACTGGCTGAGTAAAACCAAGAGAACCACAATCTGTCTGACTAAGTAACGTTAGACTGAAACTCAGTTAAAGGGCAAAAGGTAAAAGACAAGGAAGCTGGCAAGATAAGTCGTTTTCATTGCATATGATGAATATGAATAATTTGCAAACTAATAGTTGAGGCTGGATGTCTGCTATCTAATGTTTCGTGTTTAAATGTCAGAGGCAGGGGAGCGTGGGTTTAAATGAAAGTAATTTGGAACAGCCTGGTTTCCTAATCACACATGGACAAGATGTTTAGTGGATTCCTACTTTTATTTTAATGCCTTACATAAAAACTTGTACAGCTTGATCCTAATGTGCATTTCGGGATGTCAAAACCACAAGCTTTAAAGTATTTAAATGTATCCGACATAAAAGACCAACACAAAGTAATGCAACACAACTATAAAATGGATGAAAACGATCAAATTTGTGCACATTTGCAATAACCTATAAATACAGTTCAGGGTAACCAAGTTTCTTTCAGAGATAACCAAACAAGAAAATATGGGTCATTTGTAAATACGTTTTAGAGAGCTTTAAAATAGGGTTAGACTTTACAACATATCCTCAACTTGCCAGGCGTCAGAAAATGAAAAGAATGTTGAGCAACTAGAAATCTACCAGGACAACTTGACCTTTGCAGCCTACGCTGAAAATTCTTTGTGTTTTAATAAAACAGAAAATGAACAAGAGGCTTTAAAACTAAATCCTTCACATAAAACATACACTGTTTTATGCTGGGGGACTGCTTTCTTAAAAAACAAATGTACATGTCTAAACAAAAATCAATTGCAAATCTGAGGCAAGAGTTGATATGCAACCTATTTTAGGTAAACATGAGTGATTTAGCAGAGCACTGATGGGTGAAGTCTCCAGAATGTACGTGTGTGATGCTGCTAGAGAAAATCACTATTATATTTCCAGTTATTAAGCATAATCTTAACATAAGGAGGTGGTTCAATACAAATGCTTTGCGGATTTTTTATATAAAGCTATTTTGTGTTGTCAACCAAATAAAATCCCAGTGAAATACATTGAAGTTGAATAGATCAATACATCATTTCCACCTAATATTAATATATTTCGTAGCCCTCTGCACACACGGACAACACGGCTCCTTACACATAAATAATTTTTTAGTTTTTTTTTTTTTTATGCAAAATTTGGCCTGTTCTCTTAAGGGGGGCGCCGAAGTTTCCGGCCCAAATTAGATGACATCCTGTATCACATTCCTAAATGGTGGGAAGAGACACCAACTGTTGCCTGTATCATTTCTCTCTGCATTGCCTCTTTCCAGTACAGTCATGACAAAACCAGACATGTGTGTATGTGTGAGTAAAATGACTGAGCACGTATCGCTGTCTCACTCCCTCACTTTCTCCTCTTCCTACTTCTCTCGCTCTTATTGCTGCCGTCATCTTGCATTCTTCAAGTTTTAGCACTCGAGAGCACCTGTCATCCATGTGAGTGTGTGTGTTTGTGTCTTCAAAGATACTCAAAGAGCAGCCTCTCTTCCCACACTCAGGCTACTATAAGGGCGACATGCCGACACATTTACACCCTCCTTTTCATCTCAAACATATGCAAGCTCACACATAAGGAGCTCGTATGTGTGTGGGGGTGTGTGTGTTTGTGTCGGCCAATAACTCTGATATATACGTGCCACTTAAAGAGACCTGAGAGGAGACAGAGGAGGGTTTGGCGGGGCTGCACCTCCCATCCACTCGGCTGACTACTTGAACTTCCTGGCAGAAGGGCCCTGTTGACAGATTGATATCTCCAAGATGGCTGACCTGTTTGTTTTTTAAAAGAGGGATGGAGGGAGGAGGAAGAGGAGGAGGAGGAAGGCTAACTGATAACCCCAGTGTTTACACACTGCCGTTATTACTGGTGAAAGGGTCACTGACTGAGTGTGTGTGGGAGGTGAATAATAGGGGGAAGAGAAGTAAATTTCACCAGTGCTGCATTTGGGATTTTCTTTGACAGCCTCCATTTCTCTCACACACTTTCTCACATGCACACACACACATACTCCCCTCTGGGCGACCTCATGGTTAAAAAGTTAGCCGGGCACTAAAGGAGCTTTAAGATAATAGACTGATGCATTTTAAGGCTCTTCTGTGGCAATTTAGCAGCCGAGATGTGCAGCTAACTGACATCCAGGGGCTTTTAGAATGCGTGTTAGCAAGCTCCCCTCCCTAATCTGCTCTTTCATCATGAGGAGGCAGCAGTAGGTGTGAGTGACTAAAGAGAGGAAGCTGTTTAATTTACCCTTCGACCTGGAAACAATAGCAAATGGCCAGGAAAAGCTGGTGCGTATGAGCTTGATCAGGAGTGTGTGCAAGTTGTTCAGAAGAGGGAGAGTCAACAAATCAGACAGAGGCCTTTGTCTGCAGGCGCCTCCGTGTGTGTGTGTACCTTGTCACAGGGTGCGGGGCGTGTCGGTGTGTGCTCTGGGGAGGGCAGGTGGAGGCCAAGCTTTTTCTGAGGATATCAGCAGCAGGAAACCCTCCATCATTCCTGTCTGTCTGTCTGCCACCATTCTGATTTTATCTTGATTTTATAGGCAAACACGCATCACATGCCCGACAAACACAAGCCCCAAAGGCAGATGTCACGCCTCACTTCCTGTGGATTGCTCCTTACCTTGCCCCTCACCCTCGTTTATCACTTCAGTTGTCCTAATTAGTTCATTGAGTTAGTTATGGTGTTCATTCTTTCACTACAGTTTTTTATATAACTTTAAATCATATCAAATGCCATCACAAGGTGCTTTACATCTGGTCCAATTCAAATATAGTTATGAGGAACCTAAATCAAATATGTTTCTATCATTCGTTCTTTTATCTGTATTTTATAGAAAGATTTTTTTTAACTATAATATGTTGAATGATTCAGAGAAAAATCTGGTTTTAAGGTAAAAGTTTACGTAAAACTAAGAAAATGTGTTTGATTTAAAGGGCTCAAGCCTATATGTTGAGATAATTATGCTAATATTGTCTGCTTTGTGATAACGTTTTTCTTTTTTTTGTCTTTACAGAGCAGTCACTTATGGAAGTTAAGCAGCAACAGGAGGACAGAGAGGACAGCCCAGTTGAAACATCCAGTACATCTCCTGTCTCAATGACTCCCAGTCCGCCCAAGAGGGAGCACAGCGTCCTGTCTATTCTGCGTGGCACCAACACATCCTCCTCTGCCCCTAAAAGGGAGCCCAGCCGCCCTCTCCCCACACGGCCACTTTGTGCCGATAGCCCGGAGCGGCCCCTGTACCCCCTCGCCCGCTACCCGACGCTCAGGCCCCATTTTCCCCTCCCTGAAGACATGCTCAAACCCAACCAACTCGGTTACCCTTCAACTCATTCCCCTGGCAAACAGTCCTCAGCAACACCAAGCCCCTCTGCAAGAAGCAGCCCAGACACCAGCCCTCATAGTAGCCCCTCTGGTCCAGCATTATCACCAGCTTCTTTTTACCCATACCCTGGTTACTCCCCTCCATCTGCCCCACTCCCTTCTTCATTCTACCCCCCTGGGCCCCAGTACTCTCGTTACCTCCTACCCCATCATTACCCTCTACACGGAGGTGGCGTCCCGGCTGTGGGAGGGATATTTCCTAGGATCTACCCAGTCTACAGCAGCCTATTGCCCCCTCATTTGCCCCTCCTGCCTTCTGACACTGCAGCGAGGCGCCTTGTTATACCTGAACCTGTGCACCCCTCCTCAATCTCTGCCAACAGAGACTATTTTCTGCCCGGGCCACGAAGTGCCTTCTCAACTGCAACTTCTTTGAGGGACAAAGCGGGAGCCCACAGCTCTTATCCTGGACACCCTAACTCACACGGACCAGCTCACACTCCGTCCAGCAGCTCCCCAACTGCCGGCACAGCACCACCCAGCGAGCAGGTGCCAACCAAGCCTACCTCAGCCCTCGTGGGAAACACTATTGAACGTCACCCAGATGAAGAGGCTATCAATCTGACCAAAATGAAGCGTGGCGCAGGGTCAGCGGGCTACAAGGCGTTACCTTACCCTCTGAAGAAGCAGAATGGCAAAATTAAGTACGAGTGCAACGTGTGCAGTAAGACCTTTGGGCAGCTGTCAAACCTGAAGGTAAGACATCCTGTCTGCTGATCTGATTTATTACCTTGTTATCATTCCTACACTGTAAAGGACTTTCAGTGCAATCAGTAGGGAGTAGAGTATGTTTTTTGTACGTTAAGGACTAAAGTGTGCCTCCTGATGAATCAAGGGTATTATCTGATAAATACCTAAGCACATCTGCTCTTTATTTCCCGTTTACTCATAGGTTCATCTTCGGGTGCACAGTGGAGAAAGGCCATTCAAATGTCAAACCTGTAACAAAGGCTTCACTCAACTCGCTCATCTGCAGAAACACTACCTGGTTCACACTGGGGAGAAACCACATGAATGCCAGGTGAGATAAGATGCTCTAAAAAAAAAACTGATTTTACTGTGGAGTTTATTTGTAATTACTCACAGGTAGCTTTAAGCTGCTTAAACGTAGCTAATGTCATCTCTTTTTTTCAGGTGTGTCACAAACGCTTCAGCAGCACCAGCAACCTGAAAACCCACCTGCGCCTTCACTCAGGGGAAAAGCCCTATCACTGCAAACTCTGCCCAGCTAAGTTCACCCAGTTTGTTCACCTCAAGCTGCACAAGCGCTTACACTCCCGTGAACGCCCCCATAAATGCCCCCACTGCCACCGCCACTACATCCACCTGGTTAGCCTGCGACTACACCTCAAGGGTTACTGCTTGGCGGCAAGCTCCGGTTCCGGTAGTCCGAACGTTTCGAGTCAGGCTGCCTTGGAGGAGGTGCATCGCGCCAATGATGAGATCGAGCGCTTCGATATCAGCGAGCATGCCGAGCGACTGGAGCAACTGCAGGGAGGTGTGGAGATGGATGGGATGTTGGAGAAACAGGTCTTGGGGATGCTGTGGAGGGAGGCCGACCTCAAGTCCCCTAATTTCCATCCCAGTTACAATAGCACTGGCAGTGAACTTCTGTCTGCAGGTTACGGTGCGTTTGAGTCCCCGAATGAGACGTCAGTCATCAAAATGCACCATAGCACCCCCATCCCAACACTTGCTGCTAGCATTACTGTCAAGCAGGAGTCAGAGGAACGTGCGTAACAGACTCTTTTTATGTGCAAGACACATGAAAAATAGATTTTGGACTGCATGGTGGACTTGTTGCCAGGAGCAACAGCTGTAAATAAGTAATTATCTATTGCTATCCCCATGAACATGCCAGGCTTAGAACCTATCAGGGACTCACACACTCAGGGCTGCAAGAGACAATGTCCCATGACTACTTAGTGGTGTTACCATTTATTACTCCAAGACAATCACCAAAAAAAGTTTGTGTTTTTTCTTCAGTGTAATTAATATAATTCTAATATTGTTGTTAACGTGAATGATTTTGTCTTTTTTAAACATTTTGTGTTTTTGATAAATTAGTTGTTGTATAATCTAACTTATTATACATTTATTTGTTGTCTTTAAAAGCAATAAGCGAACGATTTGCTGACTATTAGGGTGACACATTATTTCTGTTTATGTTGATTTGTTTTTTTTTTTGTTTTTTTACTGTGGCAATTTCTCTGTAAATAGTTACGGTTTTTGTTGCCCATATTTTTTCTCCTCTGATTAATTAATGCAGAGGGGTCCCTTTTTTTTAGGGCTTATCTATTTAAATCTTAAAAACCAAAGTAGCAGGTGAAAATAAGCAGAAAGCCTTGCCTATGTGCAGCACATAAATTAGTTCATTTCCAAAGAGCTTTATTTTAGTCTGGATCCCTTCCCTGAAGTGTCTAGGTCCTTTTTCTGAATTTAAATGAGACAAAAAAGGGCTTTTTTGTTTGCATTTTTTTTTTCACAACAGTTACCTCAGTGTGGATGTGATGATGTGTGTGTCTGTGTGTTCAAAGGGACAGCTGAAGGTGGGAGTTTTTTTTATTTATTCAATTTATTCTACTTGAAGAAGAATAAACCAAACTGAACTGGAGAGCAGCTCTTCATGCGGTCCAAAGAAGCGGCACGGCCCGCTTAAAATGTAGCACATAACGGACTCAGGAAGCTGAATAGCCGTCATTTCCCCTGTTCTTCCCTTTTGTTTTCTAATTTCATTTTTTTTTTTTTTGTTGAATACTTTTTGTACCCATCTGGGATTTAAATTTATTTGGCTTAAAAAAAACAAAGTTCACTTGGCTTTATTTTCCAAAAATAATCTAAACAGGGAAAGAAGGACTAAGAAAATGAAAATGCCCAAGAAGGGAAAACTTACGTTGCGATGATGAAGTGTTTGCTCCTGTTTTGTATGTATATATATTTTATTTTGATGTTGCTGTCATTTTTGTTTTATATTTTTTTAGAAAACAGCCCCATTCATCTGCTGCCTTGTTAAGAACACCTAAGCACCTCGGCCCTCTTTTATGCACTGCCCCACCCACCCCCACCCCCGTTCTACTTTATCCCCTCAGTGCCGATGCTTGTATCATATACACTGTGTACAGTATCTGTAAAACTGGTCAAAACTGCATTAAGACCTTGCTTAATGTTACTACAGCAGCTGTGATTTTCTGTAGCAGGTGCACTTCAACAACCTGAAGTTGATATTACTTTCATTATGTTTCAAATGTTCGACCAAAGCTTTTCTCTTTCTGCCGTAAGAGCTTTAACTCCAGAGGAGAAACCCCTAAAATACCTGTCTTCTGTTTACAAACTGGTTTACAAAGTTATTTATGTGCAAAATGTCAAAAAGTGTAAATTATGATATAAATGCTCACTGCTCTAATCTAAACTCTAACGACTCTGTGGCTTTTTTTATTTATTTATTTTTGTTATTTGAAATAGGAAAATAAAACATGCAAGCACAAACAAAACAATATAAAAAGACTCATGTTAAGACATTACATGATTGAATAACCCACTTAATGATGTCATTTTAACAGGTGTTTCCAGTCAGCCAAATTTCCTACTCTAAGCAAGTGAAAATAGCCTTTTTTTTTTTTTTGCAAACTCACTGGCGGTGCTCAGCAAAAGTTAAAGGAGCAGCTGCCATTTGCTCTTAACAGTTTAAAAAAAATAACACCAACAACTTCTGTCACGTTTCATTTAAAATAACATTTACAGGAGGCTAGTTTAACAAAAGGGGGAAAAAGATCACTTTTAAAAGTATAACTGTTTAAAACCTTTGAAGAGCGTGAAATCAGTTACCAGCCCACAACTATAAATAAAGTTATATCTTCTATATAGTATAAACTGTAGTTACCAACAATATTCACAAATTCCCTCCATTCATCCATCTTCCTCAGGTTGACAGTGGGGTTGGTGCCCATTTCCAGCAGCCTATGGGTGATAGGCGGGGTACACCCTGGACAGGTCACCAGTCCATCACAGGACAGAAACACAACCATGCAAACACACACTCACAGCTAAGGGCAATTTATAGACACTAATTTACCTAACAGACATGTTTTTGGACTGTGGGAAGCAGCAAGTCCCCTATTCTGATCTTATATGTGTAAAAAATTAAATAGGCCCAAACTGAGTTGTGGCTGCTATTGCATTTCTTTTCATAAAAACATAAAGTCTTTGCTTTAAAATCAAAAACTTGGAAGTTTTTTTAAACAAAAAGGGTCACTGTAGTTTTCGAAATGTAGCAACTTGTTTTTAACATTGCCAAACTTGTTTTACAGCTGCACTAATTAACAGTAGATCAGCCGACTTCCTGTTTGTTGCTCAGAGATAAACACACACCTCTACTGGAACAAAGCCACAAAGCTTTGTTTTGTTGTTTTTTAAATTCAGAATCAGGTTTCTGAAATGCTGCCAGCCGCGATTATGAGATACAAAGAGGGAAATGAAACATTTTATCTGTTTGCATGTAGAGGTATTATGGTGCAAAGTTTATTTTACCTAATTTAGCAGGAAGGATTTTCCTCATCTGCTCATATTGGTTCATGTTAGGTCAGCTTTCTTTACTTTAAGGTTTATATTTCTTAAAGAAAGTTAGGTTTATAGTTTTGGATGCCACCAGACCAGTGTTTGAGCTAGATCACAGTCTAAAAGCATGCATAATATTATGGATATTTTCTCCCCCAGGGCCACCAGAGTGAAATGACATTATTCTGGTTTTGGTTTGGGGGTTATTGTAACTTGTGTTTTGTACGTCACCAGAGCAGAAGTTTTTCCCGTGTGGCTTTAAATCCAGCAGTAGGAGGAGACCTTTGAAGGATGAAATGTTCTCACCAGGAAGAACTTTGTTCTACCTTTTTGTTTCCTGCCTTTGGCTAAAACAGCACATTTCTAGAATTTAAAGCTCACTTTTCAACAAATGTGATCTGTACATCATTTTTTAAATCTTAAATTGATTGAAATTATTCCCTATATATGAAATTAGCAAAAAAATTTTGAAAGAACGTTCAATATTATCATTCTAGGCAGGCTGGGCTTTATGCTCCTGGCGCTTTTTCATCTGCTCCTGCTCACCTGTCTAATTGGCCCAGCGGCTGATTAACGCTGATCGGTTTCACCTGGTTCCCATAGCTCTTTATGTTATTTACCTTCCCTCCCATCAGCGGCAGATTATTCAAGCTGTTTCTGTGAGAATAATTCTAGCGTTCATTTAAGTGTTTGATATTCTGATTCTGACCTGTTTTTTGCCCCTGGGTATTCATGTTTTTCATTTGTCCCTATCTGCTCTGTCAGTTTTGGACTGACTTCCCGGATTCGGTTGTTTACATGTTTTGTAGACTCACTGTGGTGTAGCTTTTGCTGTAGTTTTTTTTTTTTTTTTTTTTTATTGAAAGCGTATAGCCAGCTGTGCTTCCCTTAATAAATCCATATTGTATTTTACCCAACTACACGTAAACTAGTTGTGTGCTTCAATGCCAACAAGAGATAATTCTCCATACAGATACAAAAGATTTTAGTTGCCAATGCCCCAACCCCTGTTTAGATACTAGATGCTATTTTATAGGAGTGTCTGGATGTCTAGTGGCTAAAAAAAGTAGTGGACCCAAAATTTCCCACAATACACCTTGAAAAGTAGTGTGCATCCATGGTCACTAGACGAGCAGATATATCCCAGAATGCTTTGCAAGAGCTTTCCTTGCAAAGCATCATTGCATTTGTTTTGGGGGTGAGAGAGAACAGAGATGGTGCGGGCACCGTGCGAGGAGCCGGTGTCACATGACCAACAGGGAGCAAAAAGTAGCGGTTATCTGTCCGAATGATCAGCTAACTGAGTTCACTGTATAGTCCCCACTCAACAAAGTGACGTTTGGGCACAGCCTCTGTCTAAATTTAAATCTTTACTAAAAAAAATGTTACTCATCCTTTGAGAATCCTCCTAAATTCTTAAAATAACTGCTTTTAATGCTTTATCTCTCTGTTATTACTGTACCCAATACCACATTGTTTGGTTTATATTTCTCGTGCCGTCAGTGGAACCACCTTATAACTGAGAGCAGTGGGCAGAGCAAGTCACATGACACAGACAGGAAACCCATACAGTCTACCGGTATCTCTCACATCATAAAAAGGTGAGACGGCATGCAGAAAACCCAACTCACCATTATAGTCAAATATTAATACTATATTTCAGTAAAATTAATTAGTCAATAATAAATTTTTCTATAAAAATGCATTTGATTTAATTAAACATAAACTGTTTCATTCTCATTTCACTTCATGGTCCACAGATTCCCAAAGTGTTTCTAACAAACAGATCTATGCAAGAAATTAAAAACAGTAGGAAATAGAGGAAATGTTAAGGATTTTATCTTAAAGCTGTTTGTTGTTTTTAGAAGAACTGGCTGAAAGCTAAAAGTATAACACAAAATTGTAAGGATCCTGGGTTTTACAAAATTTTACATTTTGTATTTAACCTAATTTACAACAATAATCAAAACACAATTTTTATTACTAATAATATTTCCACCTTTATAAAAAAAAAAGTATTATAAATAGTAACAAATAATCAGTAATTGTGTTGATATTTACTTTGTTGGGGATTTTTTTGTACTGTGACAAGTGTGGACAAGCAGCAGCTACTAGGATATAATTTTTAACAGAAACCTTTGAGACAATCATTTAAAAGAACTATCATCAGGGAGTTTATGTCTGAACATCCTGAGCTTTGTATACTTTACATTCCCTTTACAGCCTTGCTTTTTTTTAATAGTTTCTTAAACTATGGTGATAAAACTGGTTCAAATAATTAATTTTAAATATTTACTCTAACCTTCTTTACTTATAATAATAATAATAATAATAATAATAATGATAATAATAATAATAATTGAACTTTATTCATCTCCCATTAGAGAAATTTACTGCTGCATTTAACCCCTTGGGTAGCAGAGGGCTGCCATTGTGTGGCCCCTGGGGGAGCATTGTGAGGTTAAACCTTTTATAGGGCAAGTTACCGTTTTTGATCACTTGCATACTCCTTACAAATGGAGTCCCCCCACTTACCTCAGTGAGGTCTAGAAGCACAAGATCTATATCCAGCCTCTCAGCAGATATGCTGCTACATGGCTGTACATCTTATTTTGGCATTTGACCCATGAGATGAGCCTTGATTGATATATTACCTACTGTAAATTAAGTCGGGAAAAAAAAGTTAAGTCAAGAAAAAAAGGTAAGAAGCTAATTGAAAAGTTAAAAAGTAAAGTTAAAAAAGTAAATAAGCCTAGATAACAATTATCAGCATTAATGCCTCTAAGGTTATGTTGTACCAAAAAGTGAGTGTTTTTTTTTTTTTTAAGATTTCTTATAGAAGCTCTTCTGTTATTTTTATTAATATATTTGGGCAAATTGGCATTTCTTGCTATTATATTGACGTTAATTTTTGTCATCAAAATATCAATATTTTTTTAATTTTACAAAGGCAATAAGGTCTTGTCCTGGATTCTGCACTGCCAAAACTATCAAGAAATATGTAAACATTTCTTAGATTAAGTGTTTTTACCCTTACTTTGAGTAGGTAAATAAAATAATTTGCCAGTGGAATTAGTCTTTTTTATTTTTAAAATAAGATAATTAGATAATATGCACTTGAAATAAGACAATGCAATTATTTTTTCCTATTTTAAATGTAAATTGTCTTTTTCCATTGGCAAAGTGTTTCACTTTCCTCCTCAATTCAAGAAAAAACGCATTTATTTTAATGGAAAATGACTTATTCGGATTTAGAGTTTTTGAATTTTAAATTTAGATTTTCAGCACATTTCACTTAGTGCCCTATAAAAAGTTAAGGGTCTTGCTCAGGAACCCAGAGTGGAGGCTGTGGGGCTCGAACCGGTTACTTGTACCCTTCTTAAAACACAAGCACACTGCTCTAACCACTAGGCCAACACTCCCCCTTACCTGAAGCTTTAGCTCAACTCAGTTTATGTATTTTATGAAAGGTTCTCCAAAAGATTTTGTATTTACAAGAAGAGCCTCCAACTCTGACGTTAGGAATAGTTTTTCAGTTATGTCAAAACACTGAAATATCGAAATATGAATACGATAATCTTTCAGTTCCTGTCAGCAAAATGCTTCCCGCAGCATGATGCTGCCACCATCATCTCTGAGATGAGGTCCTGCTTGTTAACAGATGAGTGTTTTTTGTTTTCCTTCAGTTCTGCTACTTGGAGTTCAACCTGAAAATCTCTATTCTGGTTTTATAAAAGCGAATAATTTCTAGTTTCTCCAGGTCTGCTAATCTCTCAGGAGTATTTTGGTAAAGAAAAGTGTGTGTCATTGCAAATGTTTTATCAACTGTGCTGAACATCTTAAGGATCATTAGTGGAGAATCTTC